ATTTCCACCCTCGGCGAACGTACAACATAAAAGGCGGTGACCTCGCGAGGCTTTTGTGGCCTCGACCTCTTTTTTCAATTTTTTTTTAGCAAAATTAGATACATCAACAGTGTGCTGCTTATTCTGTACGATAATTACACAGTGGGAACAAAAATTAGCTCTGTTTTTCTCTATAATATTCCATCACAGAGGATGGACGAAGGAGATAAAAGGTATAAAATACTGACACGATGGAGCAACATGTGATCCTTTATTGGCAAATGCAGCATCATGTGATCCTTTATTGACTATGTTTCGGCCACACAGTGGGCTTTATCAAGTCACAAACAGATCTGCAGGTCCATCTCAAATACAACCTAGGCAACATTTTCCACCTGACTCTCCACACTGTATATACTCATGTACTCTTTACCCAGGTAGTTCTGTTTGTGACTTGATAATGCCCACTGTGTGGGCGAAACTTTGTCAATAAAGGATCATATGATACTGCATTTGTGTTTATTTTTCCATCCAGGATGGACAAAGCTTTGATGTTAGCGAAGGATTCTTAAGCCAAAGAATTAGAGCTACCGTTCCCTTAATCGAATCAGTTCTGATTAATTCCCATTCCTTTGGCGCTGTATTAACCCTATGACTTTAGCGCTTCCCCAGTGACATGTGTTCCCTCAACTCAGGTGTTGACAGCTCAAATCCTGTCTTCCTTTCGACTATTACCGGCACCTACGTTCAGCGCCTCGTGAAATACAATCTACGCTATTTTCCGTTCGTTCTGCCAGTCGAATTACGCTGAAGAACGTTTGTCATCTCCAGTCGATTACCCGTTAAGGCTTCCGTTTTGAGACAGGAAATAATGAGATAGTCCCCAGAGAGGCAGTCCAATTTCCTCGCTAACGGGAGGTGCCAGGACCTGGGCACGGCTGCTGAATACATATATACTGTATATACATGATGTTCTCAAACTGTGCCTTGGGATGGAACAGTTATGTATACATGATGTTCTCAGACTGTCCAGCAGTACTTGGCAGAACAGTATATACATAATATTCTCAGACTGTCATGATGTAGTCAGAAAGCATAAATTGGATCCACAGTGCATGAAACCTCCATCAGGTGATTATTATTTAATTAAACATTTTAATCAAGGGATACTAAGTCCGTGATGGTACTGCTCAAGGCAATTAGATTCTCTGGAATATGAAAGCGAAATGCTGATCTTTTACTGCTCCTATACCCTTCAAAGAGGGATACCATGAAACTGAGGATGGGCTCTTGATCGAAGTAATTAAGTCACCCTACCCTTCCTTTGATGAAACCTGGTGAACCTCTCATTCCCCAGGTTCTCTATTACCCTTACAGATTAAGCGCTCTCTCATGACTATATTAATAATAGTGCTGTAAGCGGAGTTCAGTACAGAAACTCTTGGGATTGCCTCCATGCACTCTGTAACCTAAAAGCAGTCCTGGTTACCCCTAGGTAGGTTTTTTAGATTTTACCGCCGACGCGACTAGTTGATTGTGTACACATATCCACCCTCTGGGCGGTAACGTGAAAAGCCTAGGAATTAGGCTCCATGAGGAGTACGTATGGATTTATAACTACAGTTGACATATCTGTTGCAAGTAAATTCAGAATATCTGCATAGTATGTCTGGTATCTTATTTTCATTAATAAGATTCCTTGATATATCACATAGGTTATTATTATTATATCTCTATATTCCTCACTAAGTGGAAAATTAAGCGCATACTGATCAAGAAAGTTACTATAAGGCTGACCACATGCTTTATATTTAGTTTGATCATCATCTGTGTGTCTGCCCAACTGCCAAAAGTACTTGTAACCAAGCCTAAGAAGATCGACACCATGCCTAAGCCTTCTAGGGTAGGGTAGGTGCCTGAGCCCGAGCCTTTAGCTCATAAGACTGTCATTCCCATTTGCCCCCTTGGGGCGGGGATGGCAGACCAGAGAGGCCTAGCTTGTGGCTAGGCCTGGGGACAGTTGGTCCCAAAGATGAGGAGGTACTTGTGCCTCCTCCCATGGGAGACTTAGGTCTCAGACACTCCCTACAGAGGGAGCCAAGACCGGGCCACCACTTGGAAAAGGCCCGGGCCGGGAGAATACCGGCTAATCTTTAATAATAATAATAACCAAGCCTAAGCCTAGCTACTACAGCATCAGTCAGTCTGTTTACATTACAAGTTACATCCTAAATTTGCTTGCAACGTTCATGTTATAGTGAGCGATAGATCATAATTAACTTCTCTCCTAACATTATTCCAAATGCTAGACATAGACATACTAGAGTTATATTCTACATTTTCCTTCAGGGTACTTTGGTTAACGTATCAACTTTATCATCAAGGAGTAATTCAGTGTGGTGGAACCCATAAAAAATGTAAATAAATTCCCCTTTCTTTGATTGTCGACTATCTGCAGTACATCTGACTTCTCTAAACAGCTTGTTGTTATCCAGTGAGTCAAGTGTCTTCATTGATGACATAGAGTCAATAATAATCATAGAGTCAAGCTCAACGTCATAAGTTAACTTCAGTGCCATTAGGATGGCATAGAATTCAATCTGCAGTGTAGATGCCCAGCTGTTTATTCATATGCCTAACTCAACATAGTCCTATCGAGGGAAGTGGCAACCTTTGCGATGATTTAAGGAATTGTGAGGGAAAAGCCGGTATTAAGTGGGGTTATGGTTGTTCTGACACCCAGGAACCATTAGCGTGTTACTGCCCGCGCTACCACCTAGCGGGCTGAGGCTAAACTTCAGTTCCTGGTGTCTGATTTGCTTTAATTTCTACTCCTGGTGTGGATTGAAGTTTGGAGAGTCACTTCACCTCCACTCTTCTGATCAGGTAAGGTGATCTACCAAGAATATTTCTGTTCATCAGAAGACCATCCTGGGCATTAGATACTCCTGACCCAACATTATACTGGAACTAAAACGGTCAGTTTTTTATTTTTATTTAATTTTAATTAAAAGCCTTAGAAAATTACCTTCATTATTATTCCTAGAGTCATTTATTTTTCCATTCTTTTTGTTCAGGCGGCAGGCGTTCCCCTGACAAAGGGATTACTAGTAATGAGCTTCTTAGGAGTGGCTTACAGGTATGTGGCTGTATAGCCCTTGTGGCTTAGCGCTTCTTTTTGATTATAATAATAATACAGGTATGTGATATTAAATGAACACAGTTCCCAAGGAAGGGTAAAATACTCTTTTCTACAGTGATATAGTTCATGCAGGTTATAAAACGTAATAGAATTAAATGTTTTCACATCCCATTTAGGTCTGTGCTTATTTACTTGGTATCAGTAGTAAAAAGTTGTAGTGAGTGTCTGGTTCATTTCATAACATTTAATACCAAATATCAATAATTCTATCACTAATACTAAGAACACCAAGCTCCTTCCTCGTGTTAAGAACCTTGGTAGTTTTAGAACAGTAAAGAATAATTCCGAAGACTTCATTTTGCATTAGATCCAAGAAAAGAATTTTCCTTAGCAAATATTAACATGGGGGCAAGAATATCAATTAAGGATCTAAGTTGTGTACATCATTCTCACTAGTCTCACATTAGCACCATAGTTAGGGTTGTAGCCAGCAACAGCTTTGAGAACATTTAGCATATCTTTGTATTTCTTATTTAGTAGTGATACGGTGGATTTATTGATGGGGACATCTACACCAAGGTATCTAAGATTTAACGTAGCTGATTTTTTTCACCTTGCAAACTACCCTAAGAAGAATGCAGTACTTTAACGAGTTAAAATTGGCGATACATGAAGGACACTCCCAGGGGCCAGCACCCCTGCTGCCCGGTTACAGATCAAGCCTGATTAACCAGGCTGTTATTGCTGGCTGCAGTACAATAAATGTACTCGCTAGAGCGGAAGGTTAGGTATAATTCGTCAGGAAACGGGACAAGTGTTGCCTGACATGGTTTTTAAGCATATATACTTGGAAATTCTTGAGGGCCCAGTCCCAAATCTGCACCCTGCTACAAAAAATCCTTTAGTGAGAGATGTGGGGAAATGTGTAGAATAAACACAGGGAAAGGCTGGGTCGCCGTGGCCACAAGAGAACATTGTATGAACATGCATAGTCCCAGACTTTTTAACATGTTGCCAGAAGATATCAGAAGCACTGCTGAAACAAGTGTAGAAATCTTCAAGAGGAAAATGGACATTGTGGCTTTGTGGGCCAGCGTGCCGCCAGCAGCAACAGGTTGGTTGACCAGGCAAGCACTTGAGAAGCCGGGCCGAGAGATTAGGAAAACTCTTGTAACCCATCAGTTATGATTCTACGAGGAGATTAATATTAAATGGTATTTTATTGTTCTTTGCTTGGCTAGAGACCTTGTATATTTACAAACACAACGGCTGATATACTGCTAGTTGTGGTTGGGCGCTTGGACTTAATACTGCTTGTTGACTGCAATTCACGGGTCATTGTACATCTCGCCCTCTCCTTGTGGAAGGTTGGACATTATGACTCACAGCATCTTCCCTCATTTACCGAGCTACAACACATTTCTGGGTATATTGGAATTTTTTTTTTTAAATTCTGTTTCTTGACTAAAATATTTTCTTCCACGTTGCAGCAGCTCGGCTCATTACCTCTCTCCTTCGATATTAATGTCACAACAATTAACGCTAATTTCGTATCCAGTTGTATTAGTCACAACGCTGTTATTTCTTAAGTGTGACAGTTTCAATACTAAGGTTAAGTTTGTATTAATTTAACAGCACTAGTATTACATTACTGTGTTAATACACTACTGCTAAGTTATCATGCTGTTATTAGAACACTAATACTAATTTCGTGCACTTTCGTGTTTATTTTTCAACACTTGGCTAATTTCGTGTTATTCATTAATTTTGAAATAATGACTCTTAATAGTCTGTTGAGGTATATTGATGTTAACCACCAAGAATGTTTGGTCATGGTGGCTGGAATCCGTAGCAATCATAGTTGTGTGTATTCTTGCAGGTTGTGACCGAGGGAGTGACCGGTGTGTAGCTCGTGTTAGTGAAGGCGCGAGTCACCCTGCCTAGGACCATGGTGGATGTATGACCAGCAGCAGAGGTCACCACACTGCGGGAGAGGTCACTCCGGAGTTCAGGTAAGGTCAAAACATATTTTTTTTTTCCTTTAGAAATGGCTCCCTTGTATACCTTTACACCAGTACCTGGCTCATATTAGCTCGTATCTGCTTCTCTCTGATGTCCCCGGGACGAAGTACTTAGAGGACTTCGTCAGTGTTCTGTGATTATCTTTATTTAATATCTGTTGTTCGGTTTCGAGCGCGCGCGCGCGCGCGCACACACACACACACACACACACACACACACACACACACACACACACACACTATATATATATAAAACTGCTAATCGCAATATTATTTGCTTAAACCCCACTTCTTTCGTGGATGCATTAATTTATAATATATATATTGTGTGTATGTGTTTAACTTTATGTATGTATTTTGTATGTTTTTATATGCGTAGATAAAAAGAAAAGGTTGAGAGGGAAGGCTGGTTGATACTGTAATGTTATTTGATAATCACACGATAATAAGGAGAGAATTTTAATTATATATGGAAAATTTATTACCTACGTTTCGCTCATGTGTTGTCAGCTTGTGGTTCTCTGCACAGTGTTGTCAGCTTGTGGTTCTCTGCACAGTGTTGTCAGCTTGTGGTTCTCTGCACAGTGTTGTCAGCTTGTGGTTCTCTGCGGGTTCGCAGTCTCGCGTCACCTTCACTTGACATATTTTATCATAATTCCAAATAATGGTCATTTTCTCTTCATTAGCTATACTAGGAATGATTATTATTTCTCTCACCTATTTGTGGTTTCAGGGGTCAAGTTTCACCTTACTCATACGACTAGTTTCACAAGATTCCTCCCCTTGTAGGCCGTGTTGTATGTATCCTTTAAACTGTGTAAGCTGTTTTGATTCCATAATCTCATCTAGGTCATTCCACCATGAGGCTGAAATTCTTCCTGATATCCCTGTAGTGTGTATCCTTGTTCTTGGTCCCTGCCTTTCAAACGGCTGTCTTTGTCTGTTCTTATCAAGTCCTCTTGTGTATCTTGTACGTTACCATATCTCCTTTCCCCGGTTCTTCTTTCCTGTATCATTGACTTCAGTTTTTGTCATTTCTTTCCATACATTTTCCCTTTCTACATAATAAATCTGTGGTCATTATGGATGTAATTGCCATGGTCATTATGGATGTAATTGCCATGGTCATTATGGATGTAATTGCCATGGTAAGTATAGCTGTAATTACCATGGTCAGAATGGTTGTAATTGTCTCTGTCAGTCTGACGTTCTCGAGATTCAGTTCTTCTTTTCCCCTTGTAAGTAATGTGGGACACTTCCTTATTTAGCCAACTATAACTTCTTTTAGGGTGAAAATATTTGCAGGTGATGAAACACGTGCCTTTAGTTTGAGAGTGCAGCATTTCCTGGCATGGTTGCAGTTACATGTACCATTGATCTTACCAGTCTCTACATATTTGTAACTACCCCAGAAAATGTTAGACACATTTGGATTTTCTTTTGGCAGTGATTTATGGGGTTATCTTTGACTTTCTTGACAGAGAATTCCTGCACTGTTTGCCTAATATATATATATATATATAAAAGCCTGTATAATTGATTTCTTCAGATTCCTTCGGTTTGACTTCATAACCTCTCACGTGGTCTCTTATAACCTGCAATTCATTTGACTCTGTCCTTGTAATGGAAGTCGAGGTTTCATTAAGTAAGTGTACAGTTTATCCCAGAACCTTGTACTGTATTGTCTGTTTGCGAACCCAAAGTATATCACTTCTCTGTATCTACGTTCCAACTCAGTTTTTCACACCTGTCACAACTTGTACGTGTATGTTCTGTATTGACAATGTGTCTGCATTTTTTTTTTTTTTTTTTTTTTGGTGCTCTACTGGTTTCACTTTCCCCAACGTATTTGTCACCAAATTCTTGTCACTATTTACTGTGGTTGTGTTGGTTGCTCACTCAACATTTTAAATATTTCTTGCATCTTTTCTTCCAGTTTTGCAAGACATGACGAAAGTGGCTCCTTAGTGTGGCTTGATGTGTTTAATTATCTGCGCTCGCCATTAAAATACTCGGCTATCTTTATCACAAACCCAGTAAATATCTTGCCCATTCCTATTAGCTATTCCTTTCCCCTCTCAGGGATATTATTTTGTGTGAGCTGTCACGTTGCATAGTTGACAGCGTATGTATGTTTTTGTTACACAGAGCAAGTTTCTTCTTTGTAACTTGTATCAGACTCGTTTGTGATCCTCCCATCCATCCTCTAACCCTCATATTCTCCCCACCTTATATTCCCCATCCTCCCTGTCTACCCTGCCTTTCCCTCCCATATCTCCCTTCCCTGCCTTCCACGCCCATCCCCTTACATCCTATATCTCCCCTCCCCCTTTTTTGCCTCACGCTAGGTCACGTTAACGTGGTGGTGGGGTGGAGGGGTGCTATTCTGCCCCGCAAGGATGCTTGTATGAGGTTCGCTTGTTCTGCCGGCGCGGGTCTTCTCCAGATGGTGACCCAGCCTGAGGGTGCTTGCCTCACTAGGAACCCAACATTTCTTTCGGCATAAATGGTTGGGACATTTTTCCTTTCGTTAAAATTTGCTCACTCTCCTAACCGATGACTTCGAACGCTTTGTCGACGTGGATTGCAGTGTGTGAAAAATAGATTTTGAATAGTTTTAATTACACTGTGATTATTGCGTGTGTAATGTGTACCAGTCACGACAGTAACAAGTTGGTATTCATAGTGTAAATTTGTTATATAATGTTAGCAACAGAATGTTTAAGAGCTAGATAACCATGAGGTTCTAGTGCTTTTTAAATGCAACAAAGCAACATTCCCCACTACCTCGCCCTTCCTAATCACCAGCGAGAATGTTTACACACTAGTGAACATTCACTGCTCAATAAATAACATTAACGTCAGTACAGCTGCATCTGTTGCGCACTGAACACTAATCACCAACACAGACCACAGCTGACAGAGCAGACACGAGGACAGTCAACATGAACGTTACACCATAACACAGGATATTCTGCTTTGCTTTTATTATGGCGCCAGGCTCAAGCTTGGTTGAAGATTTAGATACGTGTTTAACACTTGCATATTTGTCGGCATTGTATATCATTGGAATCAAGCTTGACTGCAAATACTTGTGGCAGCTTGATGTATGCACTGACGGATCTTGTAGTCAGGCTCAAGCTTGGTTGCAGGTAAGGTACAAAAACATACAATACCGTCACTACAACAGTACACAAATAACCCGAACACAGGAGAGAGAGAAAAGGTTATAACGAAGTTTCGGCCAGTTTACTTCCACCACCAATCTTGCCACTATCACTACTACATCTTCCTCTCTTTGTCCCGTCCCTGTCCCCTTACCTGGAGTTTACCTGGAGAGAGTTCCGGGGGTCAACGCCCCCGCGGCCCGGTCTGTGACCAGGCCTCCTGGTGGATCAGAGCCTGATCAACCAGGCTGTTACTGCTGGCTGCACGCAAACCAACGTACGAGCCACAGCCCGGCTGGTCAGGAACCGACTTTAGGTGCTTGTCCAGTGCCAGCTTGACTGCCAGGGGTCTGTTGGTAATCCCCCTTATGTATGCTGGGAGGCAGTTGAACAGTCTCGGGGCCCCTGACACTTATTGTATGGTCTCTTAACGTGCTAGTGACACCCCTGCTTTTCATTGGGGGGATGTTGCATCGTCTGCCAAGTCTTTTGCTTTCGTAGTGAGTGATTTTCGTGTGCAAGTTCGGTACTAGTCCCTCTGGGATTTTCCTTCATCTATGTATACTGGCTCCCTCACACTCTTCTCTCTGTGTGACATGGTAATGGTCCAAGTTGAACCGAAACGTCGTTATAAGTTTTTTTTCCCTTTTCTGCGGGTTATTTGTGTATTGGTTGCAAGTACCTCTGGCAGCTTTACATGTGCACAGACTGACGACAGTTCTAGCAGCCAGGCTCAGACTTGGTTACAAGTACCTCTGGAAGTTTCGCAGATATACACAGACGAAGAATTTGCCTAGCATGGGCCAGTAGGCGCAGTGCAATGCTCCTGTTATGTAAATTTTTCATCCAGCCGTATGGTGACTTGACCACTAAGTGGGCGACTGTTACCTAACTGGGGAGTAGCCCAGAAGTTCTCATCCAGGGGCTCTCCTGACCCAGGGGCTGTCACCCAGGGGCTGTTACCCAACCCTCCATAAAATGGATACGAGGTGCTCAATAAACATCTCGCTTCGACGATTAAATTGAATTTTTATTAACTTTTTACTTGAGAGGAAAAGTAGAACGTCTCTGACTACAAAATGCTGTAATAATAATTAACAATAAAATATTGAAATAGCATACAAAAATACTGATTGAGATTCATTATATTTGCAGTTGTTGTTGGTGCCACAGTAGTGTCACGCGACACAATAAGGTTACGGCAAAGTAATGCCAAGCTACACTTCAGTGCCCCTCAAGGAAGGTTCCTTGATGTTGGTGAGGGGCTCTTGATTTAGGGAATTGGATCTGTGCTCCAGTTCCCCGAATTAAGCCTGAATGCCTTCCACATCCCCCCCCAGGCGCTGTATAATCCTCCGGGTTTAGCGCTTCCCCCTTGATTATAATAATAATAATAATAATACACTTCAGTGCCACACACAACACAGTAATGATAGTGACACTGTCATCAAGAGATAAGAACAACCTGACAGATACCTTGATGAGAGAGAATGAAATAGGGGGAGGGAGAGGTGGAAGAATATTGGGGTATACACAGTGGAGTATTGGAGCATGAAAAGTGGAGTATTGGGGGGTTATACAAATTGGAATTTTGGGCCATTATTACGATCAACCTGAGTTATTAAAAAGAAAGTCAACATTCCCACTCTCAATAACTAACCTGAATTCAGGCCGTAATATTGTATTATTAGCGTTCCACTTTTCTGTAATTTTACCACTGCCAGTGCTGTCTAGCAACACTCGGGCAACACAACGTAGTGATAGCAGAAACCAACACCTTGGCAAACCTAGACACGCATGGGATAACATGTGGGATAACACAAA